TTTTTTTTTTTTTTTTTTTTTTTTTTTTTTTTTGCGAACAGGTCCCGTAACAATAAATTCCACTTTCTTCCTGCAAAACTTGTGAACACCACTTGCCAATATTTGAACAAACATTATTAGCCACTAACAATCTGTATGACCATTGATAACGCGTTTTTAGCTCATTCTTTGTCATCGTCTTTTACAAACATCGGGTAAAACAAAGAAAAAAAAACAAGTTTTTATTTACATAAACTTGAACACAATAAAGTTTACAACCGCTTTGAGATCTGCCAAGAAGTACATTTGAAAATTGAATACATAAACTGAGTAAATGCAAGACTAACGTAAATATATTAGAGTCTTTCTAGAAACTCTTAAATACAAATCCTGAACACAGCAACTTAAAAATCATACAAGTAACAGAGCATAGCAGAAAAATGATGTGTAATAATCAGGAAACAGAAGAACAAGCAAAAGTAAAACTCCTATAACAAAAAACTAAACAGAACTAAACAGTTAAAAAATTTCTTACTTACAGGGTTTACTTGTACCTGCACGTCGAAGCGCCACATTTGCAAGCGAACTTTTTCCTTTTTGCCTTCCACCAATGAATCCCATAATCGAAAGTCAACTCTTCATCCTAAAACAAAAAGAGCCCTATCAATTCCCATATCCCAGCATATATTTGATTAAATTATTTTTCTAAAAGTTTGAATAAATATTAACCACGTAAGTACAAAAAAATTCAACCTCAACAGTCATGGCTTTACTTACTGAAAAATAAAACTATTTCATGAAAGGGTGCAAAGAATGATCTCATAAATCAAGTGCAAAATTTATTCTGCCATACTGCAGGAAAGAAAGTGATGAAAATAAAAAAACTTTACAACTCCAGATCTGTCACTGCAACAGTTTTATAACTGAAGTAAAAAACCATCATCTGTAGTACTACTTTTAATTTATAACATAAATTCAAGTGACTTGTGTAACCTTGTCAATATCACGTTTAGCAAAGAAACATATATGAGGAACATGCTCAACATAAACGTCCCAAACGAAATGAAGGGCGATTAAGTTCGCTTCGCAACTGTGGTTGAAAAACCGGGAAACATTCCCACACCTCTTCGCATCGATATAATACACACTCGCATCATCCTAAATTAATAAACGCAACAAAGTTTCGGTACCTTTTACCTTAATATTCCTAGCACTCGAAGAAAAAACACTGGTCTTTTTCGGAAAGTAACTTTTGAGAAAGAACACATAAAATCGAGCGGTTCCAAAACGCATACAAGTATTAAATATAATAAGAGTAAAGTTAAAATGAAGTAAAATGATAGACCAGTGTATTGATTTCAACATCGGGATTAATGTAACCATTACCTGAACCTCAAAAAAATATGAGTCGTCGGCCCGAACTTCCATTTCTGTCGCAGTAATGAATTCTCCAATATACTCGCACACGAACTGCCCTGAATGAGAAAAAGTGTCAACTTGCAAATACCCGCTTTACAGTAAGGAATTTTCAAAAATTCTTTAAAAAAACGGGTATGAAATAAAGCAGACCTTTTAAAATTTTCACATCAGTTCTTACCGCCCAGCCATATCTAGTAGAACGAATAACCTAAAAATTTCTAGGCTTACGAAGGTGTTTGTTCTGTAACTTTAACCTCTTAGTATAGTTCATTTTTTCCAAGTATAAACTGTAGAAGAACAGAAAGCAGAGAGAAAACCAGAAAAAAATTAAGCATAAAATTAAAACCCGCAGTTGGATCTTCATTCCTTTTTGAGCGACTCTAGAACCGCAATTCGACGAACAGGGGCAAAGAGGACCACACTCCATTACAATCCCCGCAGTACCATCCTCGGCGCCATTTACTAATTCATCTAAGAGACGTCCATTTGTGTCATAAACACACTGCCATCCACAGGAACAAACTTCATTGCAATCCGAAACGCAGTTGCAAGCCTGAAGCCTGAACATAAAAGATGTTCAATCACATTCTCAAATTAAATCATACACTGGAATGCCAAATAAGTTTAATAATTTATCTTTTTAAAATACTTCGTTTGCTTGCTGGTGAAAAGTGGAATAAGAATACAAAAAATTTCTTCTTTACTTTAAATAAACCAAAAGAAAATTTAAGTATAAAAATGAATGGAAGCTTGTTGACATACTACAAAAAGTCATCAATATTATTACGTTGACAAACAGAAATTATCATACCAGAGAAAAGTCGCATTTTTTAGAGGAGGAAGAGCAGCAGAGAGCAGCTGACAGATAAGTAAAGTCCTCCTCGATCACGACGTCGTCAAAGTTACTATTTTCTACAGGAACAGCAATACCTTCCTTACCTTTACTTAGGTCTCTAAAATCTTCCAGACAAATGGCAAGATAACATTCCCAATGAAATATGGCTTGATAAGTTTCAAAATCACTTGACTTATGAGATGGACTATAAAATAAAGCTAAGAAATCACGGTCTCTTCTATACCAGAAATTAGATCAGTTTTCAAATATTAGGGAACAAACCTATCAATAACGACACGAGGGAGAGAGAATCTTTTCTTTGGTTCGCACTCCCTTTTGTAAAACTCGACCATCCAAAACAAACAGTCTGGAAGACTATCAAGGAACGAATCAGTAGGTAACGAAGCTCCCTTTCTTAGCAAACATCTGAACTAATAAAATTTTAAAAGAGATCCTGCGTGACAAAAAATAATATAAAAAAACTACAGAAAGGAGTGTGGTGATAACCTGCTGACATATCCACAGTGTAAAAAACAGAGTCAGCCTAATAAATAAGCATTTCACAAAAGTGCTTACTCAATCATAAACCAATTTTTCGCTCGATAAGCGACTTCCAAAGGGCAGCACTTCGAGCAATCTTGCAAGTCCAAAATTTTATCACCAAACGGAAATTTCTCAACAACCATTCTGATGTAGCATTCATCACTTTCACTGCCCTGACTATTGGCTAAAAGATGTAAAATACATTGACCAGAACCATCCACTTCGCACAAACTCATTCCATTGTTTACAAGTGCAAATAACGCTTCAGCACCCAATTCAGTAAATGCTTTGTGGAGTATACAAGTCCCACCAAACTTCTGAAATATGAGTCAAGGAGATAATAAGCTGGATTTTCAGTTGTTATTGAATAAATATGGGTCTCTTCAAAAGTCCCCAATCCCATGCTACGGCAGAAGTTTCGAAAGAACCGCAGGCTACGTAACATACCAAATTTAACTGCTAACTACTGTCAGAAAAAACCTCACAAAAGAGCAACTAAATTTTACCTCTTTAGATCCATAACCTAATAAGGTCACAACGACATCCCAGAAATGATGAGAAAGTGCATAAAATAAGAGAGTGAGATCTTCACAATTATCTTTCTAAAAATGAATGAGATTTACTGACCAATGATATAATATCAGCAAGAAAAAATTGGTTTACGATGACCTTATTGATACCATTAGGTGAAAAGATTTAAAGGAAGAAAATACAGCTTAAGAGTTACCTTGTACAATAATAGCACTTTCAAAAACTTTGGAAGGTTTTTTTGTACTGCTAATCGCATATATAAATTTGATTTCGGTAAGCCTGAGTACTGCAAAAAAAAATCTTCCAAATTGAGCTCCTGCATTTTGAATTTCAATAACATTTCAACTAGCAACTAATTTTTTGGAAAGTTAGCAAAAATAAGCAAAAAAATTGCGGAAATTGTAACAAATCATTGGTGCCTACGAGTTTTACTTTCAAACAGGTGTTTTCGGATGCAGCAGAAGTGATTTTCTTTCAAAAAAGTAGTAAGAGATGTTGGGGAAGGGAAATTGGAGGAGACGGGGAGGAAGGGAAGAAAACATAAACTACTGACCGAAATAAAAAATCGATTAAAATAGGTAATTAAAACATCCTAACTTCAGGTTAGCAATAAATGATATTCAATAACTAAATTTGGCCCTGAAAATTCAGCTAAAAGGAATGCTATAATTTGTTGAACTCTAATATTTTTTTCCCACGATGTTTTTTCCCTTCCTGAGATAAAGAAGTGTGTTTTTGCATAAATAAAGTTTTGTACAGCACAACTTGGGAATGCAACTAGCACACTCCCAGAAATACCAAAAATTGTACTCAAAAAACGTTTACAATAAAGAAAATAAGTTCATTTCTTTACCTGTAACAAAACCATGAGAGATAAAAAACATTGATTCTCCAATATTAACCGAATATGCCACTGTAATCCCATCAACTGCTCCTCTTCCTCTAAAAGACAAATAAGCTTAGTAAAGGGTAAGTAAATCCAAATATTTAAAAATTTGGGAACGTCTCAAAAACTAATACAGTTTTCAGGTGCATAATCCATCGCGATAAATCATTTGACAGTTTCTTACGAGTTTTTTACCCATGTATGACGCATTTAGGTGACTTCTCAGGTCTTCTTCTAACAGAGGCTGATGATTTAGATTTTAATACATTAAAGAATAAAAATAAGATGAGGTTTTGCTTCAGAATGAAAATTTGCTACTGTAGCAACCATGCTGTTTCCATCGTTTGTGGGACTTTTAAGCTTTCGGCAGACCTCAGACTTAATGCTGCATTCTGGCTTTACAAGGCTGTTTACAAAGCTGAGGACTTTAAGAAGTCCTAGTGCTAAGTTGGCCATAATTGCTAAGTCACTAAACGTTAAAAAGACTACCGCAATTTAAATCAAATAGAGAGGGATAAATCTTAAATTTAACAGTAAGAAAAAAATCTCTTAGTCTGTCAACGTAAGAATGGTAAAATCAGGAAAGTATATACGTAACCGTGTTTCAAAACTCCATCATATCGTCCCAAATCATCTTCAAAAAAATGGCTTCTGTTCCTTTTTAAAAAAAGCTAAACTAGAAACCAAAATTTCTAAACAAGTGCAATAAAATAAAGATTTAAAAAGCAGAACGTGCTTACCTTGAAACACAAAATAAACGGTTTTTAGTAGGCACTCGGCACTACTCTTCTCTTCCTCATGAACATGAAGAACGTTCTTGTTTGAAACGGTCTCGCCAGTAACAGATGAGAAAGCTGCTTCAAACTGGGCCCTTTCGACGGAATTACACAGACTTACTAAACATAAAACCTGAGCAAAAAACTTAGAAAATAATGACACTCAGACTTAAGAAGTAAAACTATGCTTTATATCTGTTTAACAAAAAAATCTTATTTTTCCGGGTAAACCAACAAAATTCTACGCCTGAGAGAAAGTGTTTATTTTAAAAAGAGTACACACTCAGCTGATTCCCGCCTGAGGCGCTAATGGCAAAACTAGGACTAACATTGGTTACAATGTCTCTCGAAGTGTGATGACGAACGGTTCGGAAGCCCCAAAAACCCACCATACTAGAACCTTGCATCGATGAGAAACGGTTTCAAATTCATATTCCAAGAGTTAAAATTGTATTGAATTTGAAATCTTTTATAGAAAAATTCGTTACCAAAAACAATTGACAGAACAAGAGGAGAAATCGAGTATATTTAAGCCAGTTGTTAAAAATTAGATCTGAACCTACCTCCTCCAAATCTTCTACAGAGTGAAGCTGAAATGCATCAGCTTCTATGCAGTGGCAATGCGAACACTGGCCACTGTTGAGCTGTCTACAGATATTATGCGTCCAATGTTGTTGGCCAAATCTTGAACAAACGGCAAAACGACCAGTGTCAGTTTCCGAGGAACACTAAAGAACGAGAAATTTCCCTTGCCCAAAAAATTTGAACAAATGAAATAAAAGACTATTACTAATACCTGAGTACAAAAGCATTCACAAAAAAGGCACAATCGATGTTGTTCGTACAACGATGTATGAAACTAAAAAAACAAAAAAGAACTTAGTAGGTGGTTCAAAGAGTTCACCTTTTTAAGTAATAACAACAGTTATTAAAAACAATAAAAAAAAATGTGGAAAAGAAGGACTTAAAAAAAAGTCCTTCTTTTCCACACCTTTTGATCCAAAGTATTAATTAATACTACTTCACAAAATGGCTTTTGTTCCAATTCCCAGGCGAAACTGTATTTTGACCAACGGCTGCAACGGTTACGAACACCATAACGATTATCCACACCGGAACATCTCCAATGAACATTTGGTTCTAGAGCTTTTTTCCTAGGGCTGCAAAACCAGTAAAAAATACCTTCCACTCAACTCATTCACATCCTAACCGTTGGAAAATAGTGCATAATATCATATTCAAGCAATCAAAAATGATGCCTGTATAAACGACTTCAAAAATTTGTCCACTACGTTTTTTCTGGACAATGTTTGTAACATAAGCGAGAAAAATTACTCATGATACGAAATATTTCATTCCCAACCGACTCTACCTGATAGTATATCCAGAATCTCAGAAACCAAAAACTAAAAATTTCAAAAGAACGAGTAATGTAGCGGCATCAGAAACTGAATGGACTTTCGACTATTACCTATCACAGCAACCGTAGTCCTAAATGGTTAAAAACTTCCAGTAAAGATGGATTACGTCTAAAATATCCGCTGAATGTTTGATTTCTGGTTAATCTAATAAAATTAGTAAAATATGGCATTCATTAAAAACTGTTCTGTACGGCATAAAATCCACTTAACACAATTACTAGTCAATCGTAACAGTTCTTTCCAATTTTTCAGACATAAGTCTGCCATCTGGCGCACTAATCGTAATTTAATTTCAGCAGCCTAAAGCGAAGTCATGCAAGTTGTTAAATATCTAAACTGAGAAAGAAATAACTATTTGTGATTAAATGCGCAGAACTGTGCAAACTTTTGAGATTGCAGAA